ACACCAACAACATGAAAAAACAAGGGAATAAAGCATTCCAAACAAACCAAGATGCTTCAACAACATAAGCCACTGATCAAACTGTAGAAGAAATATCCGCGATGGAGTTCAGATTGCATATAGTTGAGCTGATTTATGAAGTAAAGGATAATATAGTAAGGTTACTATAGTAAGTATAGTAAGGATAGTATAAGGAATGAAACCAAACGAAAAAAATACATGAAGTGAAAGACCACTTCAATAAAGAGTTAGAGATTGTGAAGAAGAAGAAAAAAACACAGAAATCCTTGAAATGAAGGAATCAGTAAACCCAGTTAATAATTCAATAGAAAGCATCACCAACAGATTAGACCACTTGGAAGACAGAACATCAGAAAATGAAGATAAAATATATAACCTTGAAAGTAGAGTTGAATATGCGAAGGAGATGATAAGAAGCTATGAATAGAACATCCAAAAATTATGGATTAACATGAAAAGACCAAATTTAAGAGTTATCAGAATAGATGAAGGAACAGAGATATAAACCAAAAGAATGCAAAATATTTTCAATAACATAAATAACAGAAAATTTCCCAAATCTAAATAATGGAATGGAAGATCAAATTACAAGAGGCTTACAGGACACCAAAATTAAAAAATTTCAGCAGACCCACACCAAGACACATTATAATGAGAATGAGAGAGCACTCTCAACAAAATATTCCATGAGGATGAAATGGAAACAAAAAGTGAAAACCAACAAAGGGAGGATCTACACTAAAGTGACATTCAACCAAATGAGAAACTAAAACAAATCAAAAACCAGAAGTAAATCAAAATGACAGAGAATACAAATCATATCTCAATAATAACCTTAAATGTTTACAGCCTAAACTCATCAATCAAAAGACCTAGACTGGCAGATTTGATTAAAAAGCAAGACCCAACAATATGCTATCTTCAGGAGACTTACTTCATGGGCAAAGACATCCACAGGCTGAAGGTGAAAGGAAGGGAAAAACTTATCACTCATGTGGATTACGTAAACAATCCATTCTCATTTCAGATGAAGTAAACTTCAAACCAAAGTTAATCAGAAGAGACAAAGAAGGACATTTCATACTTCTTAAGGAAAGTATATATAAGCAGGAAATAACAATTATAAATATGTATTCTCCAAACAATGGAGCATCTATGTACATCAAACAAAACTTTCTCAATGTCAAGAGTCAAATAGACCACAGTACAATAATATTGGGTGACTTTAACACACCTCTCTCACTATTGGACAGATCTTCTAAACAAAAACTAAATAAGGAAACTATAGAACTAAATAATACAATCAATAACTTAGACTTAACAGACATATATAGAATGTTTCATCCATCAATGAGCAAATATACTTTCTTCTCAGCAGCACATGGTTCCTTCTCTAAAATAGACCATGTCTTATTAAAACAAAACAAAACAAAATAAAACAAACTAATCCTCACATGTTAAACAAAATGAACTCAAAATGGATTGTAACATTATGAAATGTTTACAATAGGTGAATGGTTAAATAAACTGTGGTATATCTAAAAAAAATAAGTAACAGACATGAATTAGTGAGAACTGAATTCAACTACTAAAAAATTGAGTCGTTTTTAACTATTTTTATTTTCATTTACAAAAAAATAACATGACAAATACATTATCTAATTAAAATAGATATAATTATCTAAAAATAATTCATTGTATATTTTGTTGAGCTTTACTAGTGAAATATAATTTTAAATTATGACTAATCATCTCATTTAGAAATCACAATTGCTCATTTAATTATTGCTGGGAACTCTTTTCATCTTGGAAATTCGGAAATGTATCCACTGTGATCCCTGCTCACCTGGGATTTACTGTAATTCAAATTAAACAACAACAAAGAAATAAACACTATAAATAGAAGTGGAACAAATGGTGTGGCAGGAGAAAAGACGATGAGAAGCTTGTAGAAAGATTCACAGAAGGGTTGAGTGTGACACATTAACTGAAATCTTGAAGGACCAGTAGAAGCAAGTCAGTAGATCAAAGAAAAGAAGGCAGAAGAAATAACCTGTGCAAGGAATGAAGCTAGACATTTGTTATGTGAGGCTCTTCCATTATGAAATCCTTAACTACAATATTTTCTTCTAACCAAACTCTGATCCAGCCAACTTTTCCATGTTAATTGCTATTTGCAAACATCTGGAGGTGAGGCTCATCCATACTCAATATCTATGTTTTTCCCTCCTTCATCTATCCTTGATACTGTAGTTTTCCTGGAAATGAGTTATAATCAGGACTGTTTCATAGGTTTTCAGCATTTTGGCCTAAATGTTTCTCATTGTGTTACTTTATAAATTTGAATTCTGATGGCAGTGTAATGTATACTTCATAAAGCTGATTTTTACTAATTTGATTTTTTGATGACACAAAATTCATATTTTGATGAACTGCATTATTAAACTATTTTTAATGATATACAAATACAAATGAATGATCTATATTGTTTGAGGTTGGATTTTCTCAAAATTAGACTCTGAGATTAGTATGCTGAAATGGTAGTCAAATTGCATTCAATGACAGTATTAATACACTCAATGTGTTGTCTTTAATTTGTGTTTTTCTGACTCAGTGAGGACTGTTCCTTCTCCTCTCACTCTATGAAATTAGAATGTATCTCCTATACTCTATTAAAAGAGATATTAAAACTGTTTTTTCGTATTTTAAAAGATGGTTTGAAATAATTTAAATAGTAACTTCTAATGTAAATTAAAATATGTATTTTTAAAAATATTGAAGCTGGGGGATAGCTCTGTGGTAGAGCGCTTGCCGGGTATACAAAAGGCAATTACCAGCACCAAAAACAGAAAAAAGAAGTGAAAAGATGTGGGTGGGTTCTTTCATTGTAGAAAGTTAGCAGGTAAGGTCTGAAACTTAAAAAGAGAAAAAAGTATGATATAAACGTGTTTTTAAATTATGAAGAAATAAATACCAGATAAAACAGCTCCAGTATTTGAATGCTATTATGGCAGAAGAGAACATGGTAAAAAGAGGAGTCTCAGGAAACAGAGTTACAAGTTTAGATTACAAACCTTAAATGCAATTTGTCTTTTGCATGATACATGCTTACACCTGATAATAGTAAAAATAAAATAGAATAGTGGAAAACTATAAAATAAAATTTGCCAGTCCTTATGATATAGAAATTTCATGGAAATTTTAAATATGAACAGAAGGTACCAGCAATTAAAACATCTAGGTTCACAATTTGTGTGCCAAAGGATCCACATACAGAGATTAAATCAATTTAGATGGTATATTTTAGTTACTGTGACAAAACCAAAAGGTAAGCAAAACTACGCAATAAAAGCATAAATGTGAGAATTGTCTCTTCTATTGTCATCCAATTCTGCAATTATCTAAAGATATGCTAATTTTAATTTTTTCCTTGACCTCTAGCAACTAGTGTTAGACTCCATATAAATTAAATTAAATCACCATAAAAAAGATATTATCAGTATCTAAAATTAAAAAATCACTTCTGATAATTAATTGAAACACTCCATTTCAATTATTTTTTTCTCAGTTTTTATTTAGAAAGTTCAAACAAAGTATCATAGTTTAGAAATACTTTAATTTCATGATAATTTAACATTTTAAAAAATCTATTTTTGATTTTCAACAATGAAATTTATAAAAATAATTTTATATTTATAAAATGAATTGTTATTTCACAATAAATTATTCATTTCTATTACCTAAAAAACTGTTTCATATAAAAGCAATAAATTTCCTCATCTATATTTTTAAAATATGCTGAAAACATCAGTTCCTCTTTTTCCAGCATTTTTGGCAGTACAGTATATAAAAATATATTACAAATTCCCTGACTGTAGTTATTAAAACAAAAATCATTAGTAATAATTCCTAAGGCAGACATGTTTTCTGTTTGTGGAGAAATTAGAGCCTCACTGCGATCAAATTTTAATTTTACATCTTAAGGGTGTTTGTTATGGTCTGAATGAATGTGCCCACCGGGAAACCGGAAATGCAAATGCTAATACCAATGTGAGTATTAGGGGTGAGGACACTGGGAAGTGGTAGGCACCGAAGGTGAACCTTCATGAATTTTATTAGTGCCCTTATAAACTATAAACGAGGCCCCAGAAAGTTCCCTCTCCCTTCCTCTTGTGAGAACAAGCAAGAAAGTGCGCCCTCTATGAATTAGTGCCATGATCTTTGCTTCCCAAGGTTGAGAAATGTGGGAAATAAGTTTCTGTTGTTTTTAAGCTGCCCAGTTTATGGTATTTTGTTATAGCACACTGGCTGGAGTAAAAATGTTTAAATATCACCGAAAAAAAAAAAAAAAGCTAGCTGGGCTCAGTGGGTCAGGCCTGTAATCTCAGAGCCTCAGGAGGCTGAGGCAGGATGAATTCAAAGCCAGCCTCATCAATTTATGGAGACCCTAAGCAATTTAGCAAGACCTTGTCCAAAATAAAAAATAAAGGCTGGGATGTGGCTCAGTGATTAAGCACCCCTGCCTGGGTTCAATACCTGGTATAACAAAACAATAATAATAATAAAATAAAATAAAAAGTAAACAAAACCAAAAATGTATTTGTATTTTATAAATAGAAAATAAAAATTCCTATTCAAGAAATATACACTCGATTAAATTTTCAAAAAATTAGAGTTAAAAGATTTTTCTCTCTCTCTTCTCTTCCTTTTCCCTCTCTCACTCAATGATATATTTTACAGTTTTACAAGGGTAGCAGCTCTTGATGAATTATTATTGGTTCTATTAAATCATTGATAGGTTTTACATATCAATTTTTTCATTCAAAGAGTTCAACTTTCCTTTAAGAGCCAATGAGTTAGTTAACATTAATACAAACTTTTTCTTTGTAGGGTAAGTGATAACTATGAAATCATAATCTTAAAAATGTTGAAGTGCCCTGAACTAAACAAAACAAAGCATTTGATTAAATATCTTACAGTTTGGAATACTCTTTTTTTTTTTTATTTCTTTGTATATATAGTTGATAATCACTCAACCAGTTTTCCCTACTTCAGCAAGCAAGTAGTGAGAGACAGGAAGAGAGAGGGGTCGCTGCTTCATGAGCCCATTCTTAACCGTTTTAAAATAAACTTGTGCTGTTGGTACCAATTTTTCAGGGCTGTATTCCTCAGTCTAGAATTAAACATTCAGTATATTCCTGAGCTGCTGAATTTTTGAAAATCTGCTAAGTCGGCAATTCCAATTTGTTTTTGCTGTCACCAAAATCTATCTGATATGTTTGTGAATTTCCTTCAACACTTTAGGGGAAAGGCTCTCATTAAAAGAACACAAATGATTTCTCATTCAGTTACAACAATTTCACACTCATCGCTGGTGGTCAATCCCAACTCTGTTGTGTGTATTTAAATACCATGCTGTAAGGTATATATTATCACTGAAGTCAACTAGAGCTGGGTTTGCATGTAGATCTTTTATTCTTTGGGTTTATGAACTTTGGTTATATTCCTTGAACCCTCAAGCTAAAGGCTTCTTTATTTTTAAAAGAAATGGTAATACCTCTCTTATAGACTTACCATGAGAATTAAATGAGGCACATGTATGGTAGATGGCTCATTTATCTCCCAGTTCAGTTCTCCCAGAGATATCCAGCATTAGCTGGAACAGGCTTCCCACACAAAGAGGATTCCCCTGGCCTCCTTGGGTGCAGGTTTGTGCTAATTTCTAGTCAATGGATGACTATTGCTAGATTGTTTGAGGAGAGAGAAATAAATGTCTCTCTTGGTTTAAACATTGTTTTAGGGGCATCTTTGTTACAGTTTAGCTTATATTCTAACTGATATCTTAAACTACATCTTCAAACATAGATTTCAAAGAGTATACAGTTATTCTTAGAATGGCTTTCTCTAATATTCTGAACTTCAGAACCGTGAACCAAAGACATGCTTGTTAGCCACAGAATGCCCATAAGTAGTGATTCTTCTTCAAAGAAATGTCCTCTACTCTATAGTCACTGCTTTATTTTTCTAATCTGCAAGTTTATAATTTATAAAAAAAAAACTGGTTCATTTCATATTAACCTTGGATTTCTGATCTGTTCTTAGCCAAAAAGAACACTTAGTTCTGCATCACATCACAGCAAAGCAATTATTTACAGATTTAAATTAATATTATGAAAAAAAATGAAAGTAGTACATAAGATTTAACCAGTTCAGGCACAGTGCAGGGGCAGTTGGAAACTATATAAACAAATTCCAACTCAAATGTACATTGGTTGCATATGAAAGTTTTACACCATAGCAAAGACAAACAAAATAAGCATATAAACAAGAAAACAGGATACCATTTTATAACAGCACCATGAAGAAGCCTTGGCTAAGAGTTTGCCAAAAGTTATATCCTGAGATATTTCAAGACCAAAAGCCTTTCACATTTGTGCAGTGCTATTCGGAAGTAAACACATTCTCACAATTGCTTTTGTTTGGAGAGGGACTGGTGTGAAATAACTGAAGCTTGATTTGAAGCTATTTTGTACTGTTCTTGTCCAGAGCCTTGTGGTGGTGAAGGTAGTGGGGTTTCAGGAGTTGCTGAAAAAGAATCATAGAATTATCTGTGATGGTAGCACTCAATCTCTCCACCCGCATTAGCCCTACACAATGCCAACATGCATTATTATATTTTGGAAATATTTTTTTAAAAGATCATATGTAAAGTACTGATTTGTATAATGCATTTTCAGTGTATAAGCATACTAATGGAAAAGCAATCTCATCTTCCTCCCCAAATAGCATTAAATAGCAAAAGACCATGCACACACACACAAAAATCTTCATAGTCACTTTTTGGTATTCCTTTCCTAAAAGCATTCATGAGCATTTAATTTCCTAACAAATGCAGTAGAAAGAAGTCAATGACAAAAATTAACAGAATGTTAGTTTTTTCAAATATTAGTAAGCAATCTTCATAATATTTGCAATCAAAATGCACATAAAATTAAAATATATTTGGTTTGGATTCTACTAATTCAGATATATTAGATGGCATAAAAAATTAGAATTAAGATACTTTATAAGTGTTCTGAAATCTAAGCTATAATCAGAAGCGTCTGAAACACACTGGCTCTGTTGCCTCACAATTATTCTATTACAATTGAGCTTGCTGGTCCCTTCCCCTTCAATGCAAAGAGTAAGCCTGAGTAATTAAATATAAAAGAAATTGAATTGAATATAAAAAGTTATAATTTGAATACTTCACTGTTTAGAATAGTATTTCTTC